GAAAAAAATATCAAAAACATTTTTGAATCTAGCATAAATTTTTAGTTTTATCTTCGAATTATTAACGATCTTAAAAATATTTTCTATTTGACTATCTCAACTTAAATATGATCTGATCTCAATCTACCACATGATTGAAATTGAAAACTCTCCTAAACTTGACGAGAATTTTAGGGATGTATTACACATATGTGGCAAGATCAAAAGTGTATTTAAGTTTATTTAGTCAAACAAAAATGTATTTTTAAGATTGTCAATAGTACGAAGTGTTTTCAATATTTTTTTTCATATTCTTTATCTTCATCCGGTATTCCATATTTGTATGGGAGTCCAATTAATTTGAATTCATGTTGCATATTACCCCATTCAAGGAGAAGCACTCTCTATTAAAACTTTCTCATACTCAAGGCTCAAATCTAAGATTTCAAATTTAAAAAAAAAATCCAAGACCTTAATTCCAGATTGTCCCACACATCCATTCTGTAGATATTTTCCCAATTTTATATTTTCATTTTATTTAATGAGTATGATCTAATTAATGATCAAATTGACATTTGCGGAAATGTTGTTAGGTCTTTAACAAATTGAGGCGGACAGCATATTTATTTTGTTTGAAAATTCATTTACGTGTCACAGAGAAAGTAATTTTTTCGTACCACATTTCATGTTCACTTTTCCTTCTTTTATAGTAATATTATATAACGAAAAATCTTTTTGGTCAAAAAATTTGGCCAGGATGATATTTTTCCTATGATATTTTAACTTTTAAATATTCTTACCCTTTTAACTTAAATACATTTTAACTAAAAAATGATCAGTTTGTTTTAAAATAAAAAAAATTATAATTTTTTTAATTTTCAAGCCAAATTCTAATCATATTTTCTGGCTATTTATCACTTCCCATTATATAAAATACGTGTTAGATATGAAAAGACGAATGTTATCATAAAGGAAAACATACGGACACAAATTCTTTGGTTTAAGACCCTCTGCACTTAAAACACATGAAGCAACTGTTTTGGTTGATTGTAAATTTGTAATGATGTGTTGCAGTTAGTAATCTTTTTAGGATTCATGCTATATGAAATTACGATATCATAATAAAAAACTATGAGATAAAATTAAAATTTTGCTTGGACATACGATATAAAATTTTACTTTCTCATAAATATAAGAATCTCATAAGTTGTAAAATTATTAAAATAGCCTCAATTATTTATTCAGTCTTATCAAATACACAAAAAATTATAACATTGCATAATAAATTATTACAAAGTTATTTGTTCTCCACTTAAGTAATTGTTTCATCTAAGTTTAATTGATCAAACTTTAATTCAATAAAAAAAAAATTGAACATAAATTGTAGTGTGCTAGTCTTTAATATAATTCTCCCACATAGTATGTACAATATTCTCACGTTGAACTTGCATTTCTTAATCATATGATCGAAAAGACGAACCAATATTGTTACTTTGAGCCATTTGTTGGTCAATATCATCCGCAACTATATTTTAATGCTCATAGACCATACATATTTCATTACTCCTTTGGTATTTTCACAAATAATTATGTAACACTACATAAATTATGACAAATTTTACTTGTGTGTCAATGTCATAGTGGTTCATGTTTTATTTCACTTGTGTGCAATTACACAATTTTCAGTGCATTAATTTCATACTATAATTAAACATATTGGAAGTAGTGATTATCAAACATACATCACCAATTTTGTCCATTTGCATATTAAATGGCTTTAAACATTTTCATTTGTAGCCAAAAGAGAACTTTTATTTTAATCATGAAAAAACAAAAAAGTATTACTCCCCCGTTCTTATTTTATATTCACAAAATCAATTATTACTTTATTATTTTCACCAAATTTAAAGTAATAATAAATTTTATGTTGATGAGAATGATCATTTTTAGAAACTAATGATGTGATTATAAAATTTATTTATATATGCATGGTTTGTAGATATAAATATGTGGTTGTTTTAACAAAATATAAATTTGTGAGTCAATTTTTATAGAGGAAAGATGTTAAAAACCCCTCAATCTATACCCGAAATCTCAACTACACATTTATTCATTACAAGAGTCCTATTACCCCCTTACACTATTTTAAAGTCAAATTATTTGCTTCCTAAATGATGAAGTGGCAAAAAAAATGTAGTTCACTCTCTCTTTGAGAGTGAGAGGTAAAAATAATAATTAAAACTTTAATTTTAAAAGTATTTCTTAAATTTCATATTATAGTGTTTTTATCCTTCAAAAATCTCTATGTTTTCTTTAATTTTTTTAATCGTCTTTCTTCTTCTCTTCATCAAAGAAATATCGGTGGCTTTTTATTGACTTTGTTCTTCTCTTCGTCAAAGCAACATCGACGGCAGCTCCACTCCACCACCAGGTTGCCGCCCTCACCAACCTTTCATCATTAAGTTAACTTTTATTCTCAAATCACAAATTTCTCAAAGTAAATTCACTTCTCATCAGTGTGAAAAATTGATAATAGCTCAAAATTAAAATTGAAAGTCATCGGCGGCGGCTTTGCTCCACCACCAAGTCGCCGCTCTCACTAACCTCTCATCATTAAGGTAACTTTCATTCTCAAATCACAAATTTCTCACAATATATTCACTTCTCATTAATGTGAAATATTGACAATAACTCAAAATCAAAATCGAAAGTCAAGAGGATCGAACTTTTGAGTCATTAATGAAGAAAAAATCATCAAATAGCAGATCCATCAATGGAGTAGATTCATCAATGAAATCATTGGGTGACAAACCCATTAATGGAAAAGACCCAATAATCGAAATGGATTGCTCAACATTATTAAATTCTTGCTTCAATAGAAAGCATGAAATTTTTTCTAGTGTTCATAACTCCGGTGAAGTTCGAAGAAGATGGTGACAATAATAGAATGTATCCTCAAATCTGGAAAATCAATTTGTCAAGATCAAAATAAAAGAAGAATGGAAAAGGCAAGTGAAAGAGGGAAATATAGATGAAAAAAGTAATTACAGAATAAAGGATTTTTTTTTTAAAAAGCTAATATTACGTGGCAGGGCGCGTGCAATTCACCTTTTTATATAAATCTGGGCGTGCATTTTTAAGGGGGTATATATTATACTTTTAAAATGTTCAGGGGGGTAATAGGACCCCCGTAAAGAATAAATGTATAGTTGAGAATTGGGTAATATATTGGGGGGAGGGGGGTTAGAACATTTTTCTCATTTTTATATAAAAAATCTCAAATAATGATTCGGAATTCCCAAATCATGATTTTTGGAGATATGAGATTTCATCTCATGATATGAAATCATAAGAGGGAATCGGTATGAAATGACATGTCCAAACACTGATTTCATCTCACAATTTCATATCGTGATATGATATTGCATGGCCAAACACCTACTTAGTTTTCGATATCCATATGGAGCCCAATTGTTTTAAATTCATTCCATGTAGGAACTCATCTAGAAGAAAATACTTCTTACCAAGAACTTTTTTATATTTGAGACTCAAATCCAAAATCTTTAATTAATTCGTCCACTGCATTACATCGAATATGTTACAACCAATAATTAATATCTCTTGGGACCTAGGTCATTAACAAAATGAATAGAAAAATCGCTTAAATGTAAATTAGATATTTCTTTTTTAAACAAATCATAAAATTATAAAAATAGAAATTGAGTGACATAAAAAATATATTTTTCCCTGTAGAAAATTAATTACTCTTTCGTAATTTATATAATATAATTTTAATTTTATTTAAATAATTAAAAAATAATTATAAGTTATTATATATTTTTATTTTAATTTATTTATCCAATTTTTACTTGACATAAAATTTATTAAGAAAGTAAAAGAAACTGAGTCTTATGATTATAATAAAAATTGATAATATATTATATATTGAAATATTTTTTTATAAAAATAGGTGAAACATGTCATATTAAAATCTGTCATTAAAAACTATCGAGTGACTTTCCTTAAAATAGAGTAAAAAGATAAATAGATGAAGAAAATAATTAATCTAATTCTCTTGATCCTATCGAGCTAAACAAATTGAAACAGCGTAATATTTGACGTAAAATAATTGCACAGAAATATGAAAATGTTTATTTTCTAAAGGGAAAAGGGCCTGATTTACCCCTCAACTTTATGATTTGGAGCTGATATACCCTCCGTTTAAAAAATGGCTCATATATGCCCCTGCCGTTATAGAAATGGCCCATATATGCCCTTTTATTTAACAGACCAATATTTAATAAATTAAAAATTCATTTTTTTATGCTTTAATTTGATAAAATGCCACGTGGCTCTTAAAATACCCCACCCAAAAACTTTTCACCAACCCGACCCAATTGGAAACAAGAAAACCCCACCCACTTAAATAAACCTAGCCCATTTCATTCTATGGTCACCACTGTCCATGCTCAATTCGGAAAAAAAATCAAAAACTTGTTAGGGTTTTAGTGAGCTCTAAACTGGCGTCAATCAGTCTCAATATTGTTCAAAACCTTAGGTAACTTTCGATTACTTTCTTCTCTTTACTTTTAAGGATCTTTGGTGTTAAAAATATAGGATAAAATGTGAGAAAAGTGTAACTGAGTTTACCTACGTGCTTTTTTCCCTTGACATTCTGTCCATGGAAGGTTTATTTTCTTACTTTAATACATGAGTTTATCTCTTTTGTGTGGAAAGATGGAATCTTCGTTGGTCCCCAAATAGTTATTGTCTCTTTAGTTAATTTTAAAATTCTATTTTTCAGGTTGGTTTGGTGTTTAAATGCTAAGGTGGTCCCTATGTCTAATTTATTTGCTTGTTGCAGGTGTCATTTTGAAGGATGATTGAAGAAGTGGATATTGTTTTCAACTATGGGGGTAATTGGGTAATTTCCCCAAAGCTGGGATACAATATAAAAATTTCAGCACACCTGGTATTATAATACTTGTTTAGTTTGTTATGATGATTTGTGTGAAGCTTTTATGTCCAAATTTGGATTTAAGGAAGTTCAACAATTGTTGGTCACTGGTCCATCTGGTACTTATTATGTAATTGAAGATAATGATGGAATTAAGAATCTTCAATACTTATTTTCAAAAGATTTCAAGGTAATAAATTTTTATGCTATAGATGCTCATGAATTGAGAGTTTCTGCCACAAATATCATATATCATACTGAATCATATTTTGTGGATGTTGAAGCTGCTACTGATTGTGATTATAGTGATGTGGAGGATGAAACTCCTTATGAAATGGGCAACAACTGTGAAATTGTTGAATATAATGATGAAGTGCTTCAACGTTATGAACATGAAAAAGAGAGAGTTGTGAGTGATGGACTTGAAAAGTTTAAGGAATTAGAAATGGGTATGACCTTTAAGACTATTCAAGAAGCTAGGCAGGTTGTTAGCTTTTATGCTATGGCTAACAAAAAGAAGTTGAAAACAAAAAAAAGTGATACAAAAAGAATTAGGTATGAGTGTTATGATGGTTGTCCCTTTACTCTTCTCATATCTAAGGATGGAAAATCAGCAACATTTAAGGTTAAAACATTGAAGCCTAAGCATACTTGTGGTGATTCTTTTGTTAATCCATTGGCAACTTATCATACCTTGGCGGTTTATTTTAAGGATGAAGTTCAAAACAATCCAAAATACCCTATCAAAGACATGAGAGGAATTCTTGAAAAAAAATTCAAGTTGAATGTCTCAAGATCCAAACTAAAAAGAGCCAAAACAATGGCTCTTGATAAGTTGGAAGGCAGTTTCAAAGATGACTACAATAGGCTTGAAGCTTATGGTCAAGAACTTAGACAATCAAATCCAGGAACTGATGTGGTAATTAATATCTCTAAAGATGCACTTGAACAAGGCATAAGAAGGTTTTTGAGAATGTACATTTGCTTCAAGGCTTTGAAGGATGGATGGAAAAGTTTGAGACCTATAATTGGTTTAGATGGAACATTTCTCAAAGGAAAATGTAAGGGGCAACTATTAGTAGCTGTTGGGCAAGACTCAATGAATCATTTTTACCCAATAGCTTGGGCGGTGGTGGAAAAGGAAAACACAGGAACATGGACATGGTTTATTCAGTTGTTGAGGATTTCGTTGGAGCTGAAAAATGGTGAAATTGTGACATTTATGTCTGATATGCAAAAGGTAGATTTAATTTATTTTTTCTTATTGCCTTTTCTTTATCTTTTTTCTTACTGTCATATTTTTCTTTTCGATTTTTAGGGCCTGCTGGATGCTGTAGCTAATGTTGTTCCAGAAGCACACCATAGGTTCTGTGTGAGGCATATAGAATCTAACTGGTGCAAGAAATGGCGGAGTGGTGAAGAGAAAAAATTGATGTGGTGGTGTGCATGGAGTACCTATGAAGAAGAATTCAAAGACACTTTGAAGGTGTTAGGAAAGGTGGATGAAGATTCAGCTAGTGATCTTCTTCATTTTCCTGTAATTAAATGGTGTAGGGCATATTTTGATACTCAATGTAAGAATCTAATGGTAGACAATAACTTCACCGAGTCTTTTAACAGTTGGATACTTGAAGCTAGACAAAAACCAATTATTAAAATGCTGGAGGAAATTAGAGTCAAGGTGATGAATATGTTGGTGAAAAATGAAAAAATGGGCAGAAAATGGCAAAATGATATCAGTCCAACGGCTATGAAATTGTACAATGACTATTGATTAATGGCTACCAATTGTACAGTTGAGTTCAATGGAGATTATGGTTATGAAGTGAAAGATGGAGGCACGGACACACATACAGTGAATTTGGAGTTGAAGAAATGCACTTGTAGATTATGGGACTTGGGTGGAATACCATGTCACCATGCCATCAAGGCACTTTTGCATAAAAAAACTGAACCATTGGAAGAGGTTCATTACTGGTACAGAAAAGAGGCTTATTTGTTAACATACAAGCATAAGTTGCAACCAGTTAGGGGTTCTCAATTCTGGAAAATCGACCCTGCTCAAGCAATGGAACCTCCGGAAATGGTAAAACTTGTTGGCAGACCCAAGATGAAAAGAAATAGAGAAACTGATGAGGCAAGTTTGAGAAAGGGGGCATGGAAGCAGTCAAGAAAAGGAACTCTAATGAGATGCAACAAGTGTGGTGATTTTAATCACAATGCTAAGGGATGTTATAAGGTAATCTCTCTTAATTTTTTCTTTTAGTTAAAAAGTGTTCGTTTTTGTCAATCACAACAATTTTTTTGGGTTGAAGGACCATGAAGACAGTGAAAGTTCACATGAAAGAAATAAGAAAGCAAACAGTCAAAAGTCGAGGAGTCGAGCAGGAAAAAACTCTACATGTAGTGCCACTGTAGAGTATGAGACAGAAGCTTCACCCCAACAATTTCAGACACAACAGTCGACTGCTTATGGTCCGGAGATCGGGAATGAAGAAGATCCAGCATTGCGACCAATGGTAATTTCTGAGACAGAAACAAGGATGGAAAAAAGGTCTCGAATATTTGAAGGAATAGGAAGTAGGAAGATTGTTTTTAAAGGGGATGCAAGAGGAATCTCGACCCCTTCGGATCTACCATATTCACCAAAGAAGACTACTTGGAAGGGCAAGAAAGCAGTCACGACTGATCAGTTACAAGCTGAAGTAAAGAAGAAAAAAATGAAGCAAATGGCAATGAAGGGCAAATGGCCCGTGGATACTGATGATGATCTAGTTTAGAAGTCGTTGTGTGGTTGATCATTTTTGACATTAGGTGGTTATTTGGATAGTATTATATGATGTTAAATCCAAACAATTTCTTTTGTTGCTAACCATATAGTAGATATTCGTGGTTGGTTTAACCACCAGAAGGTTAATCTTCTTTTGCTAGTAACTTGTGTTAAGATAATTTTATAAAAATTGAGAATTATATTCTACTGCATCTGGTGTAATTATTGTTAATTGTATTTTGTGCGAGAGAGTAAATTTATGTGCTTTGATTGGTAGCGTTGTTTACATTACGACTAAAATTAGCATTGTTCACGAACTTCTTTGAACTAGTAGATAGCTCACAGATGATTCAACGTGGAATGTCAAGGAGTCATTGATGATTCTCTATCATTTTACCTCGAGCTTTTGATTCTCTTTCATTACTAAATAATACAGAAGTTAACAAAATCACTACACAAGACCAAATAAGGTGAATCAAAAGGTATCATAAATCAATACAATGAACCAAAAGTTAATTACACATAAGTCACAAAACTGCAAGTGAGATGAAAAAGTTTAGTCGCATAATATGGCCTTGGAATCTAGCATTTAAATTCCCAGAAAAGATATGATCCTACAAAGTACTACTATATTTCCAAAATTTACAAACTTTTTGCCTCAGTGAGTGAAGAAAAGAACCCAACTAAGCAACTGAATGTAAAATAACTTCAAACTTTTCTCTCGAATTTTAAGATTTCATAAACGCAATGACTCCGTCCACAGTTCGTTCGCGAACACTCTGAATATGTGGTGTGACGGCCAATAAAACTTCAGCAGACTCTTGATTTTCACTTGTAGCTGCAAGATGTATTAGCATGTAATTATCACTGAACCCTGCCTTTACCACACAACGAAAAGAATTGGCTGCCGCAACTACTAGCAGAGGACACATATTATCATCTCCTATTTAAGCATCAAAATTAGCATGGTGTTTTAACAAAACCTTAATAGCATCTTCCTGGTTGCGATCTACAACGCATATAAATGGTGTTCCAACATCAACATCACTTCGCAAATCAACGCCTACACCTATCGGCAAAAACAATTTAACCAATTCAATGCCCATTTCCTGCATCATTATATGGACAAAATAAAACACATAAGAATATCACTTCAAGCAAAGAATATCAAGAACAAATTTACCCTATAACTCTAACACCAAAGGTCCTTAAAAGAAAAGGGAAGAAAGTAATTGAAACTTACATAAGATTTTGAACAATATTGAGACTGATTGACGCCAGTTTAGAGCTCACTAAAACCCTAACAAGTTTTTGATTTTTTTTCCGAATTGAGCATGGACAGTGGTGACCATAGAATGAAATGGGCTAGGTTTATTTAAGTGGGTGGGGTTTTCTTGTTTCCAATTGGGTCGGGTTGGTGAAAAGTTTTTGGGTGGGGTATTTTAAGAGCCACGTGGCATTTTATCAAATTAAAGCATAAAAAAATGAATTTTTAATTTATTAAATATTGGTCTGTTAAATAAAAGGGCATATATGGGCCATTTCTATAACGGCAGGGGCATATATGAGCCATTTTTTAAACGGAGGGTATATCAGCTCCAAATCATAAAGTTGAGGGGTAAATCAGGCCCTTTTCCCTTTTCTAAATCATCCCATAGAAAAGTGACACCGCGAAAATGACTTCCTTTATATCGGGGTCCTCATTGTATCTGCCATTGATTTCTCTTCTCTCTTCTCTCTCTGTTTACTGCATTTAATTTTTCCGGCAATGGTTCTGTAAACTGCATATTTTTTCTGAGTGGGGACTAAAAATTAAAGGCCTCTTCAGTTTCTGAAGTTGTCTTTGCTTGTTTTAAAAGTGTGAATGGCAGAGGTCTGTTTTGGAGTTGTAGCTGAAACTGATTCATCGTCACCGTGTGAATCAAGTTCACGGGCGGTGAGGAGGAGGAGAATGGAGCTTCGAAAGATAAAAGTCATCGCTGGAGTTACTCAACCCGGAACAGAGAATGGAATTAAACGTCCAAAATTGAAACTTATTTCCGGTTCTGTTTCAAGGATTTGTGATAACGCTGTGGAAAGTTCTAGCACCGACGATGATGAAGAACAACTGAGATTAGTAGAGACGAAAGGGTCACCGCCAACTATTATTTTGACACCATTTTTGGGTCCTTCGAATTCTACTCTCCTTGTTCAAGCAGTGGCTTACCCAAAGTTTGGCTTCGCCTCTGTTTGTGGAAGGAGGAGAGATATGGAAGATGCAGTCGCAATTCATCCTTCATTTTGCCAAATGGAACAAGGAAACAGTGGAGAATTGCATTACTTTGCCGTTTACGATGGTCATGGCTGCTCTCATGTACGTTAATAACTGAATTTAACTCATACATACTGGCAGATTCAGGATTTAAACCTTTTATTTTCATCACTAAATTCATTATAGGAGTACTTCACAATTATGGATTCAAAACTCAATAGTAATCTCAACAATTCTTCACACAAATTGTTTGGATCGAGTTCAACTCGTTGATTTAATGCTTCAGCCTCGCCCGTGCGAACAATTTTACGTTTTCAGCTTATTAATTCTACAAGTTGTGGGCAGTGTATACATATTTGTGTGATTTTGTAGGTGGCGACCAAGTGTAAAGAGAGGTTACACGAGCTGGTGAAGGAGGAGCTGGAGAACAAAGAAGGAGATCATGAAGAGTGGGAGCATTCAATGAACCGAAGCTTCAATCGAATGGACAAAGAAGTGATTGAATGGAACAATAGCGTAACCGGCGCCACATGCCGGTGCGAACTTCATACACCGGAATGTGACGCCGTCGGTTCAACGGCGGTAGTCGCAGTTGTTACGCCGGACAAGATTATTGTCGCGAATTGTGGTGATTCCAGAGCTATTCTTTGCCGAAATGGCAAAGCTATTCCTCTTTCTAACGATCAAAAAGTAAATCCCTCGTCCAATACAAACAAAGAACTTGTTGGTGATAAATCAAAATCGCTTGATCTATTTCGCTAATCGGATTAATTTTTGTGTATATGTTACATTTCAGCCGGATCGTCCGGATGAACTTAACCGCATCCAGGAAGCTGGTGGCAGAGTAATCTACTGGGACGGCCCTCGTGTTTCAGGCGTTTTGGCTATGTCAAGAGCCATTGGTAAGTAGAATTAACTTGTCCTTCTTCGTAGACAGAATCAGGAATTTGAGAAGAAAAATGCAGAATGTCACACCTAAAATTCAAATCTCGGAAAATCAGAGTAGCTCAATTGGTTGACTATCTTTTACAGGATTGATGAGTGTTCGATTTCCACCTTGTAATCCCATTATACAGATCTATGTTTTGCTTTGATAACTGAATTGGACGTGATGATACTTACAAATTTGTGTAAAATATGCAGGTGATAATTATTTGAAGCCGTATGTGATCTGCGAGCCAGAAGTGACGGTAACTGATCGCACGGCGGAGGATGACTGTTTGATTTTAGCAAGTGACGGATTATGGGACGTAGTCTCAAACGACACTGCATGTGGCGTTGCCGGTATGTGCCTGAAAAGGAATGCATCGCCGGCGTCTACGTCGGGAAATGGAGCCGACGGCGAGATGAATTCCGACCAATGTTGCTCTGATGCATCGATGCTTTTGACTAAACTAGCCCTTGCTAGGCGGAGCTACGACAACGTCAGCGTTGTCGTGATTGATCTGAAGCACTACACGTAGAGAGCATTGAAGCTTTTTTTTCTTTCTTGCAGCCTTTTTTGGCTTTATGCTTTAACATTTCAGTGTGTTTATTTTGGGTGGCGTTCAGTTTTAGATTAGTTCTTTAGACGGTTGAAATTGGAAGAAAATGACTTGGGGGAAAAAAGGGATTCAACAAATGAGAGTTTTAGGTTTTGTTATCCTTGTTCTGCACTGCTTTAAATTATCCAAGGGATTTAGTATGTACAAATTAAGACTATAATATCAAGTTTACAAATGCCCCCAAAAAAATAAATCCGCAAAGAATCAAAGTTTTTCATTAGTATCTTCTAGTATGGTAGGTCTTTCTGTTAATTCTGATGAATTTGATACTCCCTCCCCTGAGTTAAATGATAGAGTTTAAATTATATGAATTGTAATTTATAATATTTTTCATAAAGTTTTTAAATATCTAATTTTTTTATTTTAAAATATCTTTATTTAATGTAGCCTCAAGATAACACCGAAGTAAAGTTCCAAATTTGTTGTCCCAATAGAACAACTTTCCTGTAAGTCTCTCTCATCAGCTTTAGTCTCCACCATTTGGCAGCAGCTTACAAGTTCTTTATGATATATCAAAGAATATTAAAAATTCTACTTCATTTAGGCCCCCCAGGATAGTGATGTTGATTTTTGGGCTACACGGCCTCACCCATGCATTACACGTAGCTTGGATTGTTACAAGCCTTATTCACACAACTATTTTTTTTTTTTTTTTGGGGGGGTCTTTCTTTTTCAATCTTATGACCAAAACAACATATTTTTGAGTTGGCAAGTAAAGAAAGTTGGATGCGTGTAGACTCTAATAATGTAGCAACAATCATTTAGTACGTACCATGTGATATTTGGTTTTGTAGTTGCCGTGAGAGACCAGTTTCTGAATGTACCCAGTAATTGTT